TGTGGGGAAAGATGGAGATGTAAGGAAAATCAAGCTATTCTAATTCTTTAGCTTTCTTGCTGCTCCCTTTCAAATGGTGGCTGTGCTACTTTTCTACTGCGGCGAATCTGCCTGCCTAAGCCTACCATATTTCTCTGACATTAATGATTGTGATTGCTAATACTCAGTATCTTTCTAGGTCTACTCCTTTTTCATTGTTTCTCAAACGAACAAGCGACTTCGAACTTTTGGTGAAAAGAGCACAGGAGCGCGATGTCCGTTTGGTTATGAACGGTGGAGGCCGAAATGGTACGTTTCTTCCGATAATTATCCTTCCCGGGCTAGATTAGTTCAAGGTAGATGAGGCCGAGACCACGATCCATTCTCGTGTTGAAGGCAGTTGGCACAATTGCTGCAGGTGGACGGTTGCTACCAGCGTCATTGATGAAAGGGTTGTGAGAGGGCGTTTGGCCACACTCTGTTCAGCCCCTTAACCAGTAATAAATTCGTCCGTCCCGCCAATCGTACCGACTGCCTTTAAAACAGAGGGAGACTCGAAAGGATTGATATATGAGGGTGAAGAGTCCCGGACCAGATCAAAAGATGGGGTCGCAGGACTAAATGGCAGGAAAACTTTTTCTGAGCGTATGCTTTCTATGGTATCCCGTTTTCCTTCACATTTAGACAAATGCAAGTGTCATTACAATGTAGAAAAGGACACAATTCTTTGGACTGTGCATATGACTTTGGAAAAATATAAAGATGATAAACTCGAGGTACGTACTATTACTTGTGCTCCTACGTTACGTATAGAAATTTTGAACTGTTGTTCACTCTTATGGTTAGTCACTTCCCTATACTACTGTACGCTTTTACGCCGCTACTACCTATGTCGTTGGTTGGTTGGAGCTATATAAAGCCTTCTTCCCTTCCTCGTTACAGTGTAGGAATCAAAAAGGGTTAGTCGCTCTTGCTGGAGCTCCAGCTCGCCAAAAAAGAGCTTGAAATTGCCCGGAAAAAGTTTATCAACTAAAGGTTAGGTTGCCGAACCAGAGGGTAAGGGTATACTTGTATTGCCCAAAAACGAAAAACTATAAGGACCTAATCCCTCATTCATTTTCACGAATCACCTTTTCCGCAGACGAAATGTTACAGTCTTATTCGCTGTGTATGAAGGAGTATGTTAAGCGACATGGGTTCGGCGCGGCGCCGAACAGTTCCGCACCAGTTATCAAGCGGGTAAGCGACAGGACTGTGTCACATCGCGTATTAATCGTTTTTCACCAGCTTCAACAACTGATGGGGAACGGAGCCATGTCGCCTGACACGCCTCTTTATCCGCAGCGAACGAGACTGTGCCTTCCTCGTGAACGAGACAAAGGTTTTTCCGGC